TTTTATCAGCGAGACTAGATTTGTTTTTGAGGCAGGAATAAATTGTGGTGTCATCCGCGTAGATGCCAACTTGGGAAGTTACGGCGTCAGGAAGGTCATTTATGTAGATAAGGAATAGAGTGGGGCCTAGGATGGAGCCTTGAGGAACACCTGCGTTCGTGGGATAGGAACTGGAGGAGAATCCGTTGAGAACGAACTTCAATTCACGGTTTGACAGGAATGATTGTATTGGGTTATATAATCGACCCGTAATGCCATAACCCTGGAGCTTGCGAAGAAATGACATGCCAAACCCTATCAAATGCTTTAGAGATGTCTAGTGCCACGGCTCGGGCTTCCTCGTTATTTTGGAGAGCTCGGTAGACTGTTTCCGTGATGGCTGTAAGCACATCGGCTGTAGATCGGGCAAAGCGGAAACCATATTGCTTGTCTGAGAGTAGATTATGGGATGTGAGGTGATTAACCACTCCGGTATTGATTAGAGCTTCGAAGACTTTGCCGAAGAGGAGAAGGAGACTGATAGGACGGTAGTTGGAAGGGTCAGAGGGGTCGCCGAAGTTCTTGAAGAGAGGAACGATCGAAGAGGACTTCCAGCAGTCAGGAAAACAAGATTCCTTGAGGCAGTAGTTGTATCGTTTCGAAAGGGCCGGCGCCAGTTCAGGCGCGCATTTCTTCAAGAATGGCTGGTATCCCGTCACCACCACTAACTTTGTTGGGATCTAAATTAGAGATAACGCCCAGTACCAAAGATGGGGTTATGTTTAACCCACTCAATATAGCCTCAGTTCTAAGAGGGAAGTCGGGTATGGGTACACCGGAAGAGTCGAGCGTCGAGTTGAAAGAAAATTTCCGAGCAAAGCATTCAGCCTTGTCGGTAGAGGAGGTCAGGACTTCGAACTGGTTGAATAAAGGAGGTATAAAGGGTTTGCAATTGTTCAATACGCTTTTGCAGAGACGCCAATAATCTTTGGAGCCAAATTTGCGAGATGCAATACGTTCCTTCATTCGAGCCGCAAATAGTGACTTAGCATCATTGAGGACACGCTTACATTCGTTACGGGCGGAGGCAAAGAGACGTCTATTGCACTTGTGATATGAATTTTTTGTATCTCCTTGAGGCATGGACTTCCAGGAATCCCTTCAATTAGTCTACTGAAGTCTTTTCCAACCAATCCTAGCGCTCCAACTACAACAGGGATTGTTGATGTTCCCATGAGCCACTTGTATTTTGACAGCTTTTTGAATATCTTCAAAGATACATTGCAGTCTGCAGGGACTGCCATACCAATAAGGAGGCACTTTTTTTTGTCTGTTTGTGGTCTCTAATAAGAATGTCTGGGCGGTTGGCTTTGATTTATTATTATTATTATTGTCGTTGTTGTTATTATTGTTGTTGATGTCCTTCTTCACCGTCTTCTTCTTGGCTACCTTCGTCTCCCTTTACATTTCTTCTTCTTCCCATTATTATTATTATTATTATTATTATTATTATTATTATACATCCTTTGATTTTTGGTGTGTACTCATTTCTTTCCAAGTTCCAGCTTTTTTTCATGACATGTTCTGCTGAGCAATTTTAAAAAAGCCACATATTTTACATAGATAAATAGATATTATTATTATTATTATTATTTAATTGTTGAGGCTTCACCCCAGTAACAATTAGTACCCTTCACTGTTTTTTATTACTCCAGCATTTTCCTCAAGTATTCGTTATTATTTTTTCTTTGATTTAAGGTGTATACACTTTTGCTTCCGGCCTCCAACCAGAGATCTAAGGTCAGAAATTGTTTTTATGACATTTTTCACGAATCATTTTTCTAAAAAAAAAACAAAAAAAAAAACAAAAAACAAAAACAAATATAATCGTAATATGTATGATGTACTTGTGAGTGCCAATTTTTGGTATTTCTTTAAGGAATGCGCTACGAGGAATCCCTTCAATGAGTCTATCGGAACCTTTTTCACTCAATCCGAGGGCTCAAACTATAACTGGAATTATTCATGTCCCCATGTGCCACATTTTTGGGATTTCCATTTCAAGATCCTTGTATTTTGATAGTTTTTTTTGAAGATCTTCAAAGATACATTACAATCTGCAGAATGTGCTTTCTTATTTCCTTGTCAATATGGAAGCACATTCTATTTTTGCGGTCTTTGATCACGATGTCTGGGTGATTAGATTTGATTGTCCTGTCTAATCTGTATTGTAAAGTCCTATAATTGTTTACAGGTCCTATGTCTGTAACCGGGTCTGGGTGGTGTTCATACTTGCAGTTTCCGTCCTGTACAAAGTTGCATATTTTCCGGTGCAGATAGCTCACTCTATCAATCCAAGTTTTATATTCAGTGGGTGTTAACCTTGTGCAACCTCATAGTTGTTTTTGAATATTTATCAAAGAATCTCTATTTGGTGGTCAACACAATTTTTCAGTATGTATACATGGTAATTTCTAATTAGCAAGCATTGGTCCCTTTGCAGCAAGAATAAAACCTTCGGTTTCTACTTATAACCCTACACTAAATAACCAGCACTGCTTACGGGGTTTTTCTACGACATCTTGCTTTGTAAAGGGAGTGTATTGACCATGGAGAGGTTTGTCTTGCCATCGTTTCTGCATTTGGTACATTCCATTTGCTTTTGCTTACGGCCATACCACGTTGAAACATCGGTTCCCGTATGATCATCGAAGTTAAGCAACGTCGAACCTGGCCAGTAGCTAGCTTAGGAATACCAGGTGCTGTAAGCTTGGATGTGCGAGTGGTGTAATAGATAATGGCTTGGAATTGATAATCAGAGAGCCGAGTTCCAATTCCAGTTGGTTTCGTTATATTTTTCCTTACGCGCAAATACCCATAGGAAAAGCAGGCATCCACCTCTTCTCTCCCCAGCTATAGGTTAATTAGTAAGAATTTTATTACTAAATCTCAAAAAAAATTCTTACAATAAAAAAATATTGTCTGGCTTTAAATAACCCGAAAAGGGTTGACAAACCGTAAAAAACGAATGAAGCAATCAATCCAGTACAAACTGATCGCAACTGAAAAAATGTTTTTAGAATTGTTTTTTATTTATTTATTTTTCCCTATTTATTTATTTAGATTCATTTGAAGGGGGAAATAACTTTAATATACAAACAATATTAACTGGTTGGGTTTATTTTTATTATAAGATTTTATAGTTGGTCGTAAGTGTGAGGAATTGTTAAACAAGTAAGTCATTAAGTGAGGTGTTGTTTTATTGTTTATTATATTCTAGTTGACACTTCAGCTTAGCAATAAATAGTACCATTCACTGGATATAAAGAAACTCCAAGTGTCAAATGAGTTTTTTCATTACTCCAGCACTCTCCTCAGTATTCATCCTTATTATCCTATTGTAATTGGGCTTGTCCCTCTCTTTGTTAGTTCACACGATCGTTATGTCCTGCCAATACCTCATAAATAATGGACTATTCCATTTTAAAAGGGAAAAGAGGAGAAAAGACACTACTTGATTTCAGTGAGAAAATCAAAGAAAGAAAGAAGGGAAGATAGTCATTTTCATTTGTACCCCCTTACTTCTTAAAATAACGACCAGCATTAATATTTATGATTGTTATTGCAATATTTTGTTAAAGTTGATAAGCTCAAATAATTAACGATGCGATAAGGGGAATTCTAAGGATATTTTATTGTCATAGAACTTGCCGTGAGTTTATTCAGTCATCAACTGAAGAAGTAAGATTTATCAGAAAATTCAAAAAGGAAAATTGTGAAATTTTAACAAGTTAAAACTAGTTGTTATTATTATTATTATTTTTATTTTCTTTGATTTCTGGCGTTTACACATTTCTTTCCGGGTCCCGCCCAGGGACCTAAGGTTATAAATGGCATCATGACACTTTCCACTGACAAAAAAAAAAAAAAAAAAATTAAATTACATAGATAAAGCCCTTCTTAAGGTGTGGGCTGTACTTGTCAGAACAATTTTTTGTATCTCCTTGAGGCATGGACTTCCAGAAATCCTTTCAATTAGTCTACTGCGATCTTTTCCAACTAGTCCTAGGGCTCCAACTACAACAGGGATTGTTGATGTTCCCATATGCCACATTTTCGAGATTTTTATTTCAAGATCCTTGTACTTTGACAACTTATTATTATTATTATTAGTAGTATATGTTATGTTACCTGCTTTGAGAAAAAAAGATCAGTAGAGCCGGGTGCAAAATGGGAAAAAAGAGCCGTAGAGCCGGGTCCAAATTGAGAAAAAAAGAGCCGCAAAGCCGGGTCCAAGTTGAGAAATAAAAGAGCCTCAGAGCCGGGTCCAAATTTAGAAAAAAAAAAGCCGCAGAGCCAGGTCCAAATTGAGAAAAAAAAAGAGCGGCAGAGCCGGGTCCAAATTGAGAAAAAAAAGGCGGCAGAGCCGGGTCCAAATTGAGAAAAAAAAAGCCGCAGAGCCGGGTGCAAAATGAAAAAAAGAGCCGCAGAGCCGGGTGCAAAATGAGGAAAAAAAGAGCCGCAAAAGCCGGGTCCAAATTGAGAAAAAAAAGAGCCGTAGAGCCGGGTCCAAATTGAGAAAAAAAGAGCCGTAGAGCCGGGTGCAAAATGAAAAAAAAAGAGCCGTAGAGCCGGGTGCTAAATGAGAAAAAAAAAGAGCCGCAGAGCCAGGTCCAAATTTAAAAAAAGAGCCGCAAAGCCGGGTCCAAATTGAGAAAAAAAGAGCCGCAAAGCCGGGTCAAATTGAGAAAAAAAAAGCCGCAGAGCCGGGTGCAAAATGAGAAAGAAGGAGCCGTAGAGAGCCGGGTGCAAAATGAAAAAAGAGCCGCAAAGCCGGGTCCAAATTGAGAAAAAAAAGCCGTAGAGCCGGGTCCAAATTGAGAAAAAAAGAGTCGCAAAGCCGGGTCCAAATTGAGAAAAAAAAAAAAAAAAAGAGCCTCAGAGCCGGGTCCAAATTTAGAAAAAGAGCCGCAGAGCGGGTCCAAATTGAGAAAAAAAGAGCCGCAGAGCCGGGTCCAAATTTAGAAAAAAAGAGCCGCAGAGCCGGGTGCAAAATGAGAAAAAAAGAGCCGTAGAGCCGTGTCCAAATTGAGAAAAAAGAGTCGCAAAGCCGGGTCCAAGTTGAAAAAAAAAAGCATCAGAGCCGGGTCCAAATTTAGAAAAAAGAGCCGCAGAGCCAGGTCCAAATTGAGAAAAAAAGAGCGGCAGAGCCGGGTCCAAATTGAGAAAAAAAGAGCGGCAGAGCCGGGTCCAAATTGAGAAAAAAAGAGCCGCAGAGCCGGGTGCAAAATGAGAAAAAAAGAGCCGCAGAGCCGGGTGCAAAATGAGAAAAAAAGAGCCGCAAAGCCGGGTCCAAATTGAGAAAAAAAGAGCCGTAGAGCCGGGTCCAAATTGAAAAAAAAAGAGCCGTAGAGCCGGGTGCAAAATGAGAAAAAAGAGCCGTAGAGCCGGGTGCTAAATGAGAAAAAAAGAGCCGCAGAGCCGGGTCCAAATTTAGAAAAAAAGAGCCGCAAAGCCGGATCCAAATTGAGAAAAAAAGAGCCGCAAAGCCGGGTCCAAATTGAGAAAAAAAGAGCCGCAGAGCCGGGTGCAAAATGAGAAAGAAGGAGCCGTAGAGCCGGGTGCAAAATGAAAAAAAAGAGCCGCAAAGCCGGGTCCAAATTGAGAAAAAAAAAGCCGTAGAGCCGGGTCCAAATTGAGAAAAAAAGAGTCGCAAAGCCGGGTCCAAATTGAGAAAAAAAAGAGCCTCAGAGCCGGGTCCAAATTTAGAAAAAAGAGCCGCAGAGCCGGGTCCAAATTGAGAAAAAAAGAGCCGCAGAGCCGGGTCCAAATTTAGAAAAAAAGAGCCGCAGAGCCGGGTGCAAAATGAGAAAGAAGGAGCCGTAGAGCCGGGTGCAAAATGAGAAAAAAAGAGCCTCAAAGCCGGGTCCAAATTGAGAAAAAAAGAGCCGTAGAGCCGTGTCCAAATTGAGAAAAAAAGAGTCGCAAAGCCGGGTGCAAATTGAGAAAAAAAAAGAGCATCAGAGCCGGGTCCAAATTTAGAAAAAAAGAGCCGCTGAGCCGGGTCCAAATTGAGACGAAAAGAGCCGCAAAGCCGGGTCCAAATTGAGAAAAAAAGAGCCACAGAGCCGGGTCCAAATTTAGAAAAAAAAGAGCCGCAGAGCCGGGTCCAAATTGAGAAAAAAAGAGCCGCAAAGCCGGGTCCAAATTGAGAAAAAAAGAGCCGCAGAGCCGGGTGCAAAATGAGAAAAAAAGAGCCGCAAAGCCGGGTCAAAATTGAGAAAAAAAGAGCGGCAGAGCCGGGTCCAAATTGAGAAAAAAAGAGCCGCAGAGCCGGGTGCAAAATGAGAAAAAAAGAGCCGTAGAGCCGGGTGCAAAATGAGAAAAAAGAGCCGTAGAGCCGGGTGCAAAATGAGAAAAAAGAACCGTAGAACCGGGTTCAAATTGAGAAAAAAAGAGCCGCAGAGCCGGGTGCAAAATGAGAAATAAAGAGCCGCAGAGCCGGGTGCAAAATGAGAAAAAAGAGCCGCAAAGCCGGGTCAAATTGAAAAAAAGAGCCGTAGAGCCGGGTCCAAATTGAAAAAAAGAGCCGTAGAGCCGGGTGCAAAATGAGAAAAAAGAGCCGTAGAGCCGGGTGCTAAATGAGAAAAAAAAGAGCCGCAGAGCCAGGTCCAAATTTTAGAAAAAAAGAGCCGCAAAGCCGGATCCAAATTGAAAAAAAGAGCCGCAAAGCCGGGTCCAAATTGAGAAAAAAGAGCCGCAGAGCCGGGTGCAAAATGAGAAAGAAGGAGCCGTAGAGCCGGGTATTAAAAATGAAAAAAAAAGCCGCAAAGCCGGGTCCAAAAAAAAAAAAAGAGGCGGCAGAGCCGGGTCCAAATTGAGAAAAAAAAGTCGCAAAGCCGGGTCCAAATTGAGAAAAAAAAAAGAGCCTCAGAGCCGGGTCCAAATTTAGAAAAAAAGAGCCGCAGAGCCGGGTCCAAATTGAAAAAAAAGAGCCGCAGAGCCGGGGTCAAATTTAGAAAAAAGAGCCGCAGAGCCGGGTGCAAAATGAGAAAGAAGGAGCCGTAGAGCCGGGTGCAAAATGAAAAAAGAGCCTCAAAGCCGGGTCCAAATTGAGAAAAAAAAAGAGCCGTAGAGCCGTGTCCAAATTGAGAAAAAAAAAGTCTATAAAAGCCGGGTGCAAATTGAGAAAAAAAGAGCATCAGAGCCGGGTCCAAATTTAAAAAAAGAGCCGCTGAGCCGGGTCCAAATTGAAAAAAAAGAGCCGCAGAGCCGGGTGCAAAATGAGAAAAAAAGAGCCGCAAAGCCGGGTCAAAATTGAAAAAAAAAAGCGGCAGAGCCAGGTCCAAATTGAGAAAAAAAAAGAGCCGCAGAGCCGGGTGCAAAATGAGAAAAAAAAGAGCCGTAGAGCCGGGTGCAAAATGAAAAAAAGAGCCGTAGAGCCGGGTGCAAAATGAGAAAAAGAACCGTAGAACCGGGTTCAAATTGAGAAAAAAAAAGAGCCGCAGGGCCGGGTGGAAAATGAAAAAAAAAAGAGCCCGTAGAGCCGGGTGCAAAATGAAAAAAGAACCGTAGATCCCAAAAAACGAAAAAAAGAGCCGTAGAACCGGGTTCAAATTGAGAAAAAAAGAGCTGCAGGGCCGACTGCAAAATGAGAAAAAAGAGCCGTAGAGCCGGGTTCAAATTGAGAAAAAAGAGTTGTAGAGCCCGGTTCAAATTGAGAAAGAAAGAGCCGCAGAGCCGGGTCCAAATTGAGAAAAAAAAGAGCCGTCTAGTCGGGTCCAAATTATGGTCCTTTGGCCCTATACGAGAACTGTCATTTAATTGATTGCACTTTTCTTAGTATATGGGATATTCCTACTAGTGCAATCTTCTGGACAACTTGTATATTCATGTTACCTGGGACACTGTTAGTAAAATTATCCTCCTTTTCTCACGAGACACAGAGTTCCGATTACTATTGGTATAGTCTCAGTCTTCATTCACCTCACCCTGTTAATCTCGATCTTCAGGTCCTTGTATTTGAACAATTTCTCGATATTTTTCAAGGAGATGTTTCTCTCAGATGGTACTGCTCTGTCAATAAGAATACACTTCCTGGATTTCTTGTCTTTTATGATAATATCAGGTCTGTTAGTTTTTATTTCCCTATCAGTTTGAATTGGCATGTCCCAGAGGATAGTTGCATCGTATTTCGGGTAACTGTGTCTGGTTGGTGCTCATACCATCTCTCAGTGGTTTCGATTATGTGCTTCTTGCATATCTTCCGGTGCGCATATGTTGCTACCTTGTTATGTTTGTGAGTATATTCATTTTTGCCAGTTCCGGACATCATTATTATTATTATTATTATTATTTTTTCCATGTCGACAATATAGTTAAATTCCCAGATGAATTCTGTGGACAAGACAGACTGGTATCATCTGGGAATTTATCTATATTGTCGACATGGAAAAAAAAAAAAATAATTCCTTACTATAAAGGTAATTTACATTAATCAGAAAAAAGGCTTAGACACAAGCGTCTATCTTTTTAATTTTGAATTTTAATGTAACTATAACAACAAAAACATTTCGATTTCATTTTACCTTGAAAAGTCGGAAGACGAAACGCGTCGGCAAAATGTAAGATTTTTTTTCCAAATGTCATTTGATACCAATCTGTCTTGTCCACAGAATTCATCTGGAATTTAACTACATATATATATATATATATATATATATATATATATATATATATATATATATATATAATGTATGTGTAAATGTATTGCTAATAATATTGAAAATCGAGAAAGAAGGGGCAAATGGAAACTATTTGGAAATATTTTGTCTTTCTTTTTTTTTTTACTTATTTAAACATGGAGGTTTGATCTTCATTTTAACATTATTTAGAGATGGAGGTAAAAGAACTTAATTAAAAATGGAAAAATAATTTTTCATTTTTTTATATGATTATATTTTAATATAGAAATTCTCTTTTAAGTTCTATTTTTCTTCTTCCAAAACAATTGGATCTAAACTCTTCTGGCGGTTCCAGTTTCTTGTCTATCATAACAAACAAACCAATCGCAAGTTGAAAGATCCTTCAAGAAAGGGTGCAATGGCAACTCATTTTGAAAGAAAGATAAACCAATTGGAAAAATTCAAACGATCACTTGATGTAAAATGCAATAATTGGTTGGGTTTTCTTCCAGTGAGATTTTACATTTCGTCGTAAGTTCGTGTTTGATTCATAGATTTTGTTTTAAAAATTAATCCCCCCCAATCAAGGCGATAATGCCACTAAGACACAAGGAGCTGCTGCGAACAAAAGAGAATGAAAAATACTTAAGAAGGGACCCGAAATCGAAACTTAAAACGGAACAAGAGATTAATCTCTACTCCTGTTCAAAAGACCGGGGAGCGGTATGAACCGGGCGATAAGCGAACCCGTCTATCAAGAAAGTACTTTTAGTTTGCAAGAATTTTTTTGAAGATAATAATGGTTTCCTGATACAGATCCTACTATTTAACCCATAGCCTAAAGGAGACGAGTTGTACTCAACATTCCTAAAGGTATTTTTGCGCAAAAGTGAATATATCGAACTCGATTGGAATTCGAACACGGAAAGTCGAGTTCTGAATTCGAGCCTTTTCCTTTACACCGCCTGCACATTCAAACTTACAGCACGTAGTTTAACAATCAAGAGTTTAACAATCTAAGGTTCTGACTCTGTGTAACGTAAGTTCGAGGTTGTTGAACAGTCGTTAAGTGAGTCGTGGCTGTATGCATTTTATCAAGTTCTAATATGCAATAAAAGAAATATTGTCCAAGAGTTTGGAAAATATACCATATTTTCTGGCTTACAAGACGCCGTGGCTTGGAAAACGTACCCTAATATTGGAAAGAAATTTCTAAGAAAAAAAGTCATTCTCATACAAAAACACATTCACCACACGTGTCTCTCACGTGTTGTTTACATTAATCCCTCGTCCTATTTTGTTTGTATGACAATGACATACTAGTCAAGAGCAGAAAGGCCCCCGCTGCTGTTAGTAAACAGAGTTTTTTAAGCTTGTGGTTCAGCTCCATGAATATTTAGAGTCTTGAAAATACTTGTAACAACTAAGTACTGAGGTTACATCATATTAAAGACTGAATTAGATAGCTAACATTATAGTATTGTTGCGGGATGTGCATGGAGTGAAATGTATCTGAATGTAAGACGAAGATTATACGTGCTTATAATGCCAGTATTCCGCAACATGTAGATTAAACAAACAATTTAAGGACAATTTGCATGGCAACAAATTACTAAACACAGTTGTCAACGATCTAACAATAAAGAAATTTTTATATCAACAATAAGTACATATGTGATGACAATCAAAATGTTTGTTGTAATAACTAAGTTAATCTTATAAAGAATGTTTATGCAGAAATGTACTCAAGAAATGTTGATGCTTTTTGATTGTTAGAAAAATTAAAATAGTTGGGTTTCTGCAAAGAAAGATGTCAAATGTGTTCGTTCATTTGTCAGTGTGTGTACGTGCGTAATTTAGAAGTAAGAATAAATGTTGTCAAGAGTTGCTTGCCTTTAACTGATAGGCTAAATTGGTGAAGTGTACAATTACTTTTTATAGGAGTGAAAACCTTCACTTTTTAAGTCAATTGTAGATGTTGATTACCACGTGGACAATGGTTGATTGAGTGTTGTGTTGAGTTTGTTGAAAATTTTGAAGTGATGTTGAGTTCAGTGAAATTGTGGAGTTTGGTAGCACCTCATGAAACTCAATGACTGACTGACTGAATTGAGTCATGCGGTTATATTTATAGACTTTTGTGTAGCAAAATCGGCTCCAGAGGGCTCGACGGGAAAAAGGATTTGTTTCGAACTTTGCTAAAATTTAGTGTTTCTTAACCAATAGAAGATTGAATTTGCAGAAACGAGATGATCAATGGTTAAGGCTTTTTTTTTTTAGAGAAAAATACATCTTTCTGAAAGGGGTGAAAGGCTAATGTGGAAGATTCCACAGTATAATGACTCAACATATATTATCCACGTCCTTATCAGTCAAGCCAATTAGGTGACCGCCCAAGCTTACGTGAGCCTTACATTCGTCTTGAAAGACGCACATGTATTTTTTAGGAAAAATGTCCATTTTGTAAGCCGGAAAACTGGGTGTAAAGTTCCAACTCCAGAAGAGTTCATAATATTCACATTAAGTAAGATATGAAGGACAAAGATGAGGACAATAGTCCGAATAATGTAAATAGTGTACATAATACCTCATCTCAGAAATATAGACAGATACTGAAAGGCCAAAACGTTGTAATAAATATGTCGACAAAGATGAGGACAATAGTCCGAATAATGTAAATAGTGTACATAATACCTTATCTCAGAAATATAGACAGATACTGAAAGGCCGAAACGTTGTAATAAATATGTCGACAAAGATGAGGACAATAGTCCTAATAATGTAAATAGTGTACATAATACCTTATCTAAGAAATATAGACAGATACAGAAAGGCCGAAACGTTTTAATAAATATGGCGACAAAGATGAGGACAATAGTCCTAATAATGTAAATAGTGTACATAATACCTCATCTCAGAAATATAGACAGATACTGAAAGGCCGAAACGTTGTAATAAATATGGCCTATCCATGTCCTAATGTTGCAAATTTCTTCATATTCTGAAAAACAGTTCATTGTTTATGCTCACAGTCAAATTAAAAAATTACCCCAAACAAACAAGCTTGCACAGTTCGCAATGAATTAACGTACCATCCTATCATATATATAGTTATATAAATAGTACTGACTCCCTACATAGATGATGCTATATTCTTTCCCAAAATATGTCGCGAAAGTTTATCCAAACAATATATTTTTGGATGGCGACGCTAATTAATGTTTCTTCTATCTTGTCTTTGCAAAACGTGAGCAATCATGGCTCTCCATAACTTCCAGTACTTTGTAGCTCTTAGTAAAATTCCTACTCTCTGTACTGTCATCCATTTAAACAAGCTCGTTACATAGGTTACTTTCTGCTTTTTCTCTGTCCCTCTTGCCTTTAATATGTCCCGTGTGTGTTAACTTTTCCATGCTCTTTTTCCTCATTTGCCCTAGAAATTTCAACTGTATCTTGATGGTTCTAAATATAATAGTCATTTTGTTTCCATTTTCCATAAAAATTCCTCGTTACTTACATGTTCAGTGGATGGTATCCTCAGCATGCTTCTGTAGAACCACATTTATGTTGCTTCATATCACTTCTTCCTCTGTGAAGAGATTGCCGATATTATATAAATTTCCTTTGTTTTCAGCGAAATTTTCTTGTTTCTTTTTGAAAGAAGGCAACTTTTCGCTATCCCATTTCGTGTCGTATTTTACGTCCTCTGTACACTTTCCAGATATTTAAATTTTTAATTGTATGTTTATTTTTTGTTGTTTTTTTTTCCCAGTCAGATGTCTTTTTTTTGGCTCTTTGTGATCAGAACATTCTCCACGTCAGACAATACCTCTTTCAGTTGATAGATAGATAGATATGAACAGACTAAGATAGATAGATAGATATGAACAGACTAAGATAGATAGATAGATAGATAGATACATACGAACAGACTGATAGATAGATAGATAGATAGATAGATAGATAGATAGATAGATAGATACGAACAGACTAAGATAGATAGATACATACGAACAGACTGATAGATAGATAGATAGATAGATAGATAGATAGATAGATATGAACAGACTAAGATAGATAGATAGATAGATAGATAGATAGATATGAACAGATAGATAGATAGATACGAACAGACTGATAGATAGATAGATAGATAGATAGATAGATAGATATGAACAGACTAACATAAATAGATAGATAGATACATAGATAGATAGATAGATAGATGTGAACAGACTGACAAATAAATAGATAGATAGATATGAACAGACTAAGATAGATAGATAGATAGATACGAACAGACTAAGATAGATAGATACATACGAACAGACTGATAGATAGATAGATAGATGTGAACAGACTGACAAATAAATAGATAGATAGATATGAACAGACTAAGATAGATAGATAGATAGATATGAACAGATAGATAGATAGATAGATAGATATGAACAGACTAAGATAGATAGATAGATAGATAGATAGATATGAACAGACTGATAGATAGATAGATAGATAGATAGATAGATAGATAGATAGATAGATAGATATGAACAGACAGAGGTAAATATAATTATTCTCTTTTGAATAAGTTGTAAATATTGTTACTAATTTGATAGAAAAGTAAAACGTTCTACGCGACTGGGAACTTGGGTATATGAAGGGGTATTTAAGCGGATAGTGGGTGCGGTGGGTAGAAAACGCCCATTTAACGACCTACCCGGGCTTTCGACCAATATTTTCAGTATGGTAAAAATAATGTTTGTGCTTTTAATGTTATTTTCTTTATCTCTGTTTTCATTATCTTTTGAATAAGTTGTAAATATTGTTACTGGTTTTAATGTCACGTTTCGCTTCTTATCGTCAGAATCGTTCCGATTATTATCATTATTATTATTAATATTATTATTATTATTATCATTAATATCATTATTATTATTATTATTCAACACCCACTTGTTGAAGTGTTTTCGACTCAAGTGCTACTCTTTCTGTTTCGTGGCACAAGCCCCGCGGGCGCCTCTCGTCTCTGATCGCTCATTGTTGTCAGTTGTCTCGCCGTTGGAGCGATGGGGGCGATAATAAATGGCGGGAAAAGGAAAGGAGAGTAAACAGAATAAGGAGAGCTAGGAGAGTGGGAGAGCCCGAAAGCCGGTGGAGCGTTCGGGAAGGAGAAATCTGAGTAGAAAAACTGCTTTTTCCCCCGAGGGCTGAAAACATCCACAAAACTGGAAGAGTCTGTAAACAGTTTGATGGAAAAACAAAACGTTCTACGAGACTTGGGACTTGGCGGTGGGAAGGATATTTGGGCGGACGGTGGGATGTGGGTATAGGTGTGGTGGGCATCAGACGCCCGTTTAACGACCAATCCGGACTTACGACCAGCTATAAAATCTCATAAAAAAACAATTAAAAGCCACTTAAATTAAATGCTTTATACGAAGATTTTGATTGCGTGAGTTTGCGACATTTCGTCTGTGGGTCGCAGAGATTGGGGCGAAAGTATAGCTGTCTATATTTCTGAAAAGAGGTATTATATACAGAATTTACATTATTCGGACTATTGTCCTCATCTTTGTTGCCATATTGATTACGTTTCGGATTTCAGTATCTGTCTATATTTCTGAAAAGAGGTATTATGTACACTATTTACATTATTCGGACTATTGCCCTCATCTTTGTTGCCATATTTATTACAACGTTTCGAATTTCAGTATCTGTCTATATTTCTGAGATTAGGTATTATGTACACTGTTTACATTATTCGGACTATTGTCCTCATCTTTGTTGCCATATTTATTACAACGTTTCGGCCTTTCAGTATCTGTCTATATTTCTGAGATGAGGTATTATGTACACTATTTACATTATTCGGACTATTGTCCTCATCTTTGTTGCCATATTTATTACAACGTTTCGGCCTTTCAGTATCTGTCTATATTTCTGAGATGAGGTATTATGTACACTATTTACATTATTCGGACTATTGTCCTCATCTTTGTCGCCATATTTATTACAACGTTTCGGCCTTTCAGTATCTGTCTATATTTCTGAGATGAGGTATTATGTACACTATTTACATTATTAGTACTATTGTCCTCGTCTTTGTTGCCATATGTATTACAACGTTTCGGCCTTTCTGTATCTGTCTCTATTTCTGTGATGAGGTATTATGTACACTATTTACATTATTAGGACTATTGTCCTCATCTTTGTCGACATATTTATTACAACGTTTCGGCCTTTCAGTATCTGTCTATATTTCTGAGATAAGGTATTATGTACACTATTTACATTATTAGGACTATTGTCCTCATCTTTGCCGCCATATTTATTAAAACGTTTCGGCCTTTCAGTATCTGTCTATATTTCTGTGATGAGGTATTATGTACACTATTTACATTATTAGGACTATTGTCCTCATCTTTGTCGCCATATTTATTAAAACGTTTCGGCCTTTCAGTATCTGTCTATATTTCTGAGATGAGGTATTATGTACACTATTTACATTATTCGGACTATTGTCCTCATCTTTGTCGCCATATTTATTAAAACGTTTCGGCCTTTCAGTATCTGTCTATATTTCTGAGATGAGGTATTATGTACACTATTTACATTATTAGGACTATTGTCCTCATCTTTGTCGCCATATTTATTAAAACGTTTCGGCCTTTCTGTATCTGTCTATATTTCTGAGATAAGGTATTATGTACACTATTTACATTATTAGGACTATTGTCCTCATCTTTGTCGACATATTTATTACAACGTTTCGGCCTTTCAGTATCTGTCTATATTTCTGAGATGAGGTATTATGTACACTATTTACATTATTCGGACTATTGTCTTTATCTTTGTCGCCATATTTATTACAAAGTTTCAGCCGTTGTACGCACCGGCCTTCTTCGGGTGGTTGGAATGTCGAACTGAACCCTGAACTGGTCGTTATTAACCGTTGATAATAATTTCAATCTTTGCTGATGCAATTGTTTTGCTCGATTGTGTACAGCCGTAATTTTATTTTAGGAAAAAGAAAGAAGCAAAAAAAAAAAAAAATTAACCTTTCTTTTAGAAGCTAACAATAACATTTTTATTTATTCTTCTTTCGTCAAACGCAGACGATCGATGAAGTCGTCTGACACAATATCACCTTTCCAGATAACTGCCCGATAGAAGAAGAAGAGAGAGTGTCTTTTAGAGCGAGAAGAAGGGCGAGTGGGCATAAGGGAGATACTGGAGTAGGAGGAAATAGAAGTGGAGCAGGAAGAGGAGGAGGAGGAGTGGCAGAAAGTTACATAAAAACAAGGCAAACGTCACTGACAGGACCGAATTATGAACTTTTGGGGGATCCTAGGCTAATGAAATTATGCCCCTACCCTCATACGAAGCCACTCTCTAACTTGCTCGCACACATCTTGAATATTTTTTACTCGTAATATATTTTAGCGACACTTTCATAGCTAGAAGTCAACTGGATGCAAATAAACAAGAATAGCTATCTTTTATTTGTTAATAAAAATATTCTTTAAAAATACCACGATTTTACTATTTGTTGGAAAACAAATTAGCACAGATTTCAATACAACGGTAATAAAAAAATACAACACTTTTATTTTATAATCAGCATTATAACAATAAAACACTTAAAATAAATATGAGTTTATCATATTGATATCATTTCAGCATATGAAACTAATTAAAATTATATAGCATCTAGAAAAATTACAATGATTATTTTTTAAGACTTTATACTGTTATTTAATTTCACCTTATATTTAATCTATGTCTAATTGTTGCCAATGAAATTTTATTTTTAAAATATTTTAATTAATTTTATATTATTTAATTTCATCTTATTTTTCAATCGATTTCGCCTTGACAGCACAGAATATTATTTTTAAAACCTTTTTTTATTAATTTTATAATGTTATTTAATTTCGTCTTATTTTTCAATCGATTTCGCCTTACGAACAAGGAATATTATTTTTAAAAACAATTTTTATTAATTTTATAATGTCATTTAATTTCGTCTTATTTTTCAATCGATTTCGCCTTATCGACAAAGAATATTATTTAAAAAAACTATTTTTATTAATTTTATAATGTTATTTAATTTCGTCTTATTTTTCAATCGATTTCGCCTTATCGACAAAGAATATTATTTTTAAAAACTATTTTTATTAATTTTATAATGTTATTTAATTTCGTCTTATTTTTCAATCGATTTCGCCTTATCGACAAAGAATATTATTTTTAAAAACTATTTTTATTAATTTTATAATGTTATTTAATTTCGTCTTATTTTTCAATCGATTTCGCCTTATCGACAAAGAATATTATTTTAAAAAACCATTTTTATTAATTTTATAATGTTATTTAATTTCGTCTTATTTTTCAATCGATTTCGCCTTACGAACAAGGAATATTATTTTAAAAACAATTTTATTAATTTTATAATGTTATTTAATTTCGTCTTATTTTTTTCAATCGATTTCGCCTTATCGACAAAGAATATTATTTAAAAAAACTATTTTTATTAATTTTATAATGTTATTTAATTTCGTCTTATTTTTCAATCGATTTCGCCTTATCGACAAAGAATATTATTTTTAAAAACTATTTTTATTAATTTTATAATGTTATTTAATTTCGTCTTATTTTTCAATCGATTTCGCCTTATCGACAAAGAATATTATTTTTAAAAACTATTTTTATTAATTATAATAAATAAATTATATAATTATTATTATCAGGTATTTCCGTTCACCTTTGTTTTTTATTAAGTTAAGTATTGTTATTATCAAGACGTTTCGGTGGTTGTGTCCACTCGCCTTCTTCAGCTGTCTGTTGATCCCGGTGACCTTTAAGAATCTTCAAACTGAATCCATTTTTTAATCTACGTGTGTAGATTTTTCACGTTCCGCTGTCCATGTTTATGTTCAACTGATGATTTTAGTACTGCTTATACTTGTTTTCCCCCCTATTTCCATTTCTTTTGATTGATGAGGTGTAGAATAGTCCTGAACCTAGAACTTGTAGCCTTAAGTATAAGGATTTTATTCTCTGTCTGCTGCTGTTACGCTTGGCCTCCTTCACCACCTCTTCTCTTACGTTATTGTTGCTCTTATCAATGGTTCCTATAGGCTAAGCCTACTAAATAGTCAATTATAGCGTATACGCGCTGATTCGTTTAGATTGCTAATGCTGTCGTGTTCTTCTCTGTCTAGTATTTTTACTTCATAACATAGTGATTGGTGACCACACTTTTCCTTGCATATATGATCCGCCATGCATGATGTCATTTTCTCACCGCTGATTACAAGTTTTCGATCGATTCTGTAGCTTTATTTTTTGGGTTCTGTTTTCACCTTTGTGTTCTGTTTTTCCTGTTTTAGGCTTACCTCAACAAAATATTTCTGAATATTATCTTGATGTCGCATCTACAGCAGATATTTTGAATCATTCCCGATAAACCTTTGACTTTAAGGAGACAGACCGGGGCGGTTTTCCGGTCCTCCTCCCCAACTCAAAAGCTGATGTTATGTTTGGAGGGTAGTTGCATGGTACATTTGATTTATCGTCCTGGGTATGAGGATAAACAACATCCGGCAGAAAGGTCTCTGATCGGGAGATTGGTGGTTTTATAGAACGTGAAACCATCTTTTAACTGATATTGTTCCCGGGTCCAACCTAACCCGGAGTGGTAGCACCAGTTAGGGTCCAGGCTATGGGTAAATAGTTAACACAAGCTGGGGTCAAAAACTATGAAAATATAAAAATACATTTTATAGTGAAAATACCAGCAAGACATTTTTGTAAAATAATTACTAATACTCTGAAGAGCTACAAGAAATTGATATGCTGCTAAACAAACACCCCCTTTAACGACTTACCTGTTTAACGACCACCTGATTTACGACCAATTATAAAATCTCATAAAATAATAAATAATACAGTAACTCCTCACTTAATGACTTACTTGTTTAACGAATCCTCAGACTTACGACCAGTTATAGAGTCTCACTACAAAAATAATAATAATAATCCAACCAGTCGGCATTGTACATTGTACGAAACCATTGATCGTGACAATTTGCTGATTTCTGGAACCGTCAGAAGAGATTAGATCCAGTTGTTTCAAAAGAAGCAAAATAGGACAAGAGACGACATTACTGACAACGGCAATCAAGCTAGAATACCAAGGAGGCTGGTGGAGCATTGAGGAGACTTGTTGTCACTTGATCTCCAATAAAATTCACAACATACCTCTTCTAAAGACATGGGCAATCATGGCTCTCCACAACTTCTATCTATCTTTTTACTATCCCACCTACTGTACGTTCTGAGGTCCATTAACGCATTCGTTCGATAGGTTACTTAGTGCTTTCACACTTGCTTATAAGTTATGTGAGTGTAAAATTTTCCAAGCCTACTTTTCTCATTGTGTGTTATAGAAATGTTTTATTGTACATTGTACGAAACCATTGATCGTGACAATTTGCTGACAACGGCAATCAAGCTAAAATACCAAGGAGGCTGGGGGAGCATTGACGAGACTTGCTGTCTCTTGATCTCTAATGAAATTCACAACATACCTCTTCTAAAGACATGTGCAAACATGGCTCTCCACAACTTCTTATCCGATATCTGTTAATACATTCGTTAGATAGGTTACTTAGTGCTTTCACTCTTGCTCTACAAGTTATGTGAGTGTCAAATTTTCCAAGCCTTCTTTTCTCATTGTGTGTCTTAGAAATGACGATTGCCTCATTATAATTCTATGTATAAACGTCGTTTTTATTTCCATTTCCTTTAATACTTTGTCATTGACCCCATGCTCTATCCACAGTATTCTCAGCATGCTTCTGTAGAACGACAAGTCTTCTCTACATATTTGAAGAAATTGTACAACATTCACTGCTCTATAGGAGGGTTGGTATTATGTAGCCATTGATCACTCAGTTTTGTTGTTATCCCGACGTTTCGGTCGTTGTGTCCTTCGGCCTTCCTCGGGTATATATCGGTCTGGGTAACCTTGAGTGAATTCTGGACTCGACATACACCTGAGGAAGGACGAAATGTTGATATTATGGAACAATTCATCTCTCAGTTTTGTTGTTATTCCGACGTTTGGGCCGTTGTGCCCTCCGGCCTTCCTCGTGTATATATAGGTCTGGGTAACCTAAAGTCAATTCTGGACTCGATATACACCTGAGGAAGGATGAAATGTTTTGAGATAGACAATAATATTGAGGACAATAGTGGATAGAAAAGATCATAGATAGTGTAAATAATGATCTCTCCTCATCCTAGAAATTCATACAAATTCGCTATCCTATTTTTTCCAACAATTTTTCCCTGTCTCTTAATAGTTTGTTTCGCTTAACGACCTACCTTTAACCTCAAACATACGACCAGCTATAAAAATCACATAAAATAAATGAATAAAAATGAATGCTTATAAAGTGTAAAATAGAGAACAATTTAACTTTACCGTCTACAAACCGAAGTTATCTAGAGCACAAGGAGCTGATTTTCAAATTTGTTTATTGCGTTGACAGTTCATTAAGCTTCAATATGTTATAAACCCGATAGAAATGAGTTAGAAATGTTGCAACAACTCGACGATAAAGCTATCTAATCTGACACAAACCCATTACCTGATATTCGTTATAACGCGCGATGTTTATTACAAATACGGCTGTATTTTTTTGACTATAGTAAATGAATATATAGATTGGTCAATGGCGTAGCCAGGGCAAGCGTTACATACGCTAATTTTATATCGCGTGTATAATGCGACCCCCTTAAAATTAGCTTCAAAATAAGCTCTTCAAAAATCGGGCGATACGCGAGTATATACGTACGGTACATTCGTCGTATGCCTAAAAAGTAGAACTTTTCGCTTAGAGACCAGGTCTTCGGAATTGGATAAGAAATGGCTGTATAATAATAATAATTTTCAAAGGGTAGCTTGGATGTGGCACAAGGCCGAATGTAAGGGGCACCCACTGATGATCGAACTCACTACTCATTCGTAAGTTGTTCTAGCGAGACAAGCTTGCTAACCATTACACCACCTCGAAAATTTAACTTTACCGTCTACAAACCGAAGTTATCTAGAGCACAAGGAGCTGATTTTCAAATTTGTTTATTGCGTTGACAGTTCATTAAGCTTCAATATGTTATAAACCCGATAGAAATGAGTTAGAAATGTTGCAAC